TAAGATCTGGTTTTGTTTATTAACCTAGATGTCATTATGCTTTAATTAATGTTTCCTGGTAAACTAAGAGGGCACTTGGCCAGGAAATTTATCTTATTTATCTTATCTTGTGAGCGGCACATATCCCAAGTTCATTTAGCTTGAATTCACAGTTAGGGAATAAATTTCACTTCTCTAAACTCACTTGTGCGATTAAGTCCTGTGATTTAGATGCATCGCATCACTCTAGCCAGTGCTGACATCAGAGGTGCCGAATTCCTGAATCTCAGATCCTTTCAAAAAATGTACTGCAAGAAAGTTGCAGCAAAGCTTATGAGAATTCAAACATTTTTCCATAATAGTAGTACTACATTCTAAGCACAGTTCCTGTGTAGATTCAATTTGCTTAAACTTTTGTAAGGAGAGTAGACTAAAAAAAAATAAAAAATATATAGAGAGAATTATTGATTATAAACAGGATATAGACTTGACTAGATGAACCCATGGTTCACCCAGGCTTTAAAACTGCAGTCCCAGTCCTTTGCACCTCACAAGAAAAAAGGGCCAGAGAAAGGCAAAAGGGATGGAATGGCTTCATTAAGGCAGGCAGAATTCCTGAGGACAGGAACAAGCTATGACCTGGACTGTGATAGAAGTCTACAAAATTGTAAATAGCAGGAAATGAATAAATATCAATTGACTGTTGAGTGTCCTTTCCAGTATGAGAGCTTAGGGGCATTAGATGGAACCAACAGGAACTTAGTTCAAAGCAAAGAAAGAAGCAAGTCTGCATGCAGTAGGCAGCAGACAAAAAGAATGACCCAACTTTATAGATGGAAAACACAAACACCACCTCCAGCATAGGAAGCTCTGGAGTGGAAAACAGAAGCCAGGAGACTTGTCTTGGGCACCCATGCTTTCTCAGGCTGGTAGAATAGGGCACTGGGCTAACAGGACTCACTGTGACCATTCCTACTTTTTATTATGAGCCCATTGTTTTCATATCTAAAGAGAAGCTAATAAAAGCATCCTAAAATGAATATTTTTACTGTAACGCTCTAAACATTCCAATACATAACAGAACACAGAAAATGAGCCATTACCTTATACAGCAGAAGGAAATAATGAAAAAGAACTATGAATTGCTTATTATCTCTGATGGCAGAGAAATTTGAAACAGCCACTTTACTTCTTTGAGGTGGTATATAAATTTAAGAAATCATTCAATATTTCAAACTATCAGGCTCAGTATACAATTTTTTATATACAAATCATTGTGTCCTTTGTTGCTCAACCAAATGTTCTTTTCATGCATGAAATCAATACCAGGCACACTTTTTATTACATTCACACCATACGTTGTAGAATTCAGCTAGAGACAAGTTCCATAAATCCTGATAAATTCTTGCACTAGTCAGAAGTAAATCTGCAGGAAGTATAAAGCGTCAGATACTCACTCACGGCTAGCTTTGTTCTAACTGTTCTCCCATCAGAGTCAGTGACAGGATGAATACTGATTGATGTCATGATAGTGTAAAACATCTCAGAGGATTTTGTGGAAAAATCCCACCCAAAACATTTTGTGGTCAGTTATAAATAAAACCTCATATTCCCTCCATGTTGATGATCAATGCTGCATTGGTTTGATGCTTTTATAAGTTCTACTACACCATGATACTATGGGTATAAAAATACAGTCAGGAGGAGAAAAAAGTCAGTGATAGATTTGACTCAAAAAAAAATAAAAGCTTAGAATTCTGCTCTAGTTAATATTGAGGGCAAGAGAGGGAGTTTTTTGTTTTGCTTTGGCAGTCTTTGATCACTAGAATTTCCCAAATGTGTTTGCTTTGTTCCAAAAGAAGAGATATATAGAAGCTGTTTTTCCACAGAAACTCTCTTATTGGACATTTTTGCAAAACACCTCTCATCGATCAGAATATTTGGCTCATAATTGGACAATTCACGGAAAGTAGCTAACATCCGATAGGAGGTTGGTGACAATAGCAAATCTGAAATCTACCGTTGACATAGAGTTGTCTGTATTTTGGTAAGTACTTAGTATTTGAAGTCAGTGTGCTATTCTGCCTGCTCTTTGAACAACAGTTGTAGGTGGAACATAAAGCACTACAAGGTCTGAATTCCTTAAAAATACCGGGAGAAACAGAAATTGGCCATGGTATTTGGTGTTTCCTTCTTTCCCCTCTTACTACAATATTTGCTGCTTTGAATGGAATATTCAAAAGGATCAAGAATCTTCAAAATGACTGGTGTTAGAGAGGGATAGCTTGTATGAAACATGTGACATACATTACACAATAAATAAAAATATTGCTAATACATAAAACATTCACATAGAAATTCTTTGGATTAAATTTATCTCACCACGTGAAATTTGTGAACATATACTTATCCAGGATGTTTTACTCTTTCTAGACACTGCCAGCAGAGAAATAAGCAGAGAGGCAGAGAAAGAGGCCTGGACATCTCTGGCAGACATTGTACAAGGATTGACTAACTAATTGTATAGCAACACTATGGAATGGAGTGAAATGGCCCTGCAGTAGGATGATTGCCCAGTTGTGTTATTTCTAGGGTTCAACCTAGTCACCTCCATGCACAGCTATGGCGCTGCATGGGTAAATCAGTTGCCTCCAAGATAAACAGGGATGGTTTTCCCGCATGCTTTCATCCTTCATAGGCATGTCTGAGGCAAACACATCCTATTTCCATCTCTTAAAAAAAGAAAAAAGAAAAAAAAAAAAGAAAAAAAAAAAGAAAAAAAAAGAAAAGAAACCAAGCACAGAATTCACTGCATTAGTCAGTGTCAGAGACTGCGATACCGTAACTCTTGATTTCTGCAGAAGTAGAAGCAAAAGGGGCTGGTTTGAATCATACGCAAACATTTCTGAAGTGTCTTTTGCAAAGTATATAAAAAAGACAAAGTGTGCTAACAGGGGAGAACTCACCATCCTTTATACACACAATTCTGCACAAAGGAAAAATAAAATGCACAGTTATGTTCTTGAAAAGTTTGGTTTGAAGAATGCTCTTCTGAAAAGTGAAATATGCATTTGGGAAGCTGACTGCACAAATTGCTTTCTCTAAGCACAAATAACTTCCCATGGGGATTACTGAGGCAACTGAGGTTGGAGAGAAGAAAAAAACTCCCAGACAGTTCTTCCCACACTACTCCTTAACTTACATACTCTGTTCAAAAGACATCCTAGATCATAACAGTTAAAATTCCAAGCAAACGATATTTTTTCTTGTATTTTCCAAGGAAGGAATCATAAAAGCTACACAATGATTTGAGAGCAGCATCACCTGTAAGTGTATAAAGGTAGATAAATAGCAGATGTAGTGGAAATTCAGCCCAGTTAACAAAAAATAAAATAAATCTTGATGGGACCAATGAATAATTCACAGGCCACGTCACTGGAGTGACCACAGGCAGGTCTGTGAAGAGTTCATGCTGTGCTGTACAAATAATTTACAACAGAAAAAACGTGAACACTGCATAACACAATTGCTGATCACAAGCAATCTTATCAAGCCAACTCAGCAACTCTGCAAACATCAATGCACTCTAGGTACTGTCACTGCAATGACTTCAAATAGGGCTATAACCTCATCATCTACACATAACTCTAGCAGAACTGAGTCTTTGTTACCTTTTGAGATGTCTATTTTGAAAGAAATTATGATCTCGTTTGTCTACTGTGCAGAAAGAGAAAAAATCCCCAAAGAGTGCTAACTCCCCAAAGAGATGAATTGTTCTGACAGGCTGTGTCAAAAAAAAAAAAAAAAAAAAAAAAAAAAAAAAAGTAGAGGATATATTATGATTTTACTTGTGGAATCTCAAATAACCAAGGATCATAACGTGATAACGATGACAGAACAACAGGCTATTTTTATACAGGTTTATATTTCTTATATAGGTTTATTTATAATATTGCCTTTTGCACGTTCAGTGCTTGAACAACTAAAAAAATATTGTCTCAAGAATAGCTGCAATTTTATCAAAAAGGACACTCTGAAAACAACATCACATTCAATGCAGAGCGTAACTGAACACTGTGAGCAACTTTAATTAATAATAGGAGTATGTGTTTCCCATGGTGTTTTTCATCAAAATTGCTTGTGAAATGTGGCTGTGAATGGATAATAGTGTATAAGGAACCGTTCCCGTACTCTCATATTTACCCAAATAATCAGGAGTTAGTTTACATTTGCCTCCTCATTTCACTGCAATAGAGCAAAAGAAATTTAATTTAAGCTCAAAAAAAAAAATAAAATAAAATAAGTGTGAATCTGAGGTAGCAAACTAAAGCAATTCCTTTGATAACAAAACCAAGGAAAGTACTGCTCATAGCATAGGGTCTTAATTCTGGGAGAGGATTCTTCAGGGCAAGAAGTTCTGCCTACAGGAGGGTATTTATTTTCCTTTCAACTGTAGTTATAAAACGTGTAAATATAAAAACATGATTTGTAAATAGATAAATGAGTGAAGGATCCAGATGACTTACTGAATCTCTCTGAACCACTTTTAATTGCACCAGAGTACCCAACTTTTGCAAACTGCACCATGCGTTGAACAGCACCAGAAGTTTGCAGAGACTTTTGAACGTTAATCTTTCTTTTGAAGAGACATTTTTTGTATAGGTTAATGAACCAGTCAATTTAAATTAATTTGTCTGAGAGCTGCAAGTTGGAATTTACAGGCTGTATGCTCAGAAGGAGTTGAGTTTTTCTCATATTCAGAACAGAGTTTCATGCATTTGGACTGGAAGAAGCAAAATAATAAAACTAGCAGGCAGTATATCTGTTTATCTAAATATTTCATGTGCTTATTACCTCCTATTCACTGTTGAAAGACAGCTACCATACAACCTGCTAGCTGGGATTTTTATTATTTCTGATGTTAGTGACTCAAGAAGGTACGCATGGCTGCCTCTTTAATATTTTTGGATGCTGGCTCACAGACTGTTCTTTTATTTAATTCTCTTTTTGTTTTGCGTCAGGGTGAGTGTTCCCAGAAGTGCTATTACATCTTCGTCATAGAGACCATCTGTGTGGCTTGGTTTTCCCTGGAGTTCTGCCTCCGATTCATTCAAGCAAGAAGCAAGTGTCAGTTCTTCAAAGGGCCCCTGAATATAATTGACTTCTTGGCTATTTCACCCTATTATGTTTCCCTCATCTTGGCAGAGGATGACTCAAACGAGGCAGACGACAGGCCAAGCAGCAACACATATTTGGAGAAGGTTGGTTTGGTGCTACGGGTTTTACGTGCCTTGAGGATCTTGTATGTAATGCGCCTTGCCCGGCACTCCTTGGGCTTGCAGACTTTGGGCCTCACAGTTCGGAAATGCACAAGAGAATTTGGCCTGCTTTTACTCTTCTTATGCGTGGCTGTCACTCTCTTTTCTCCTTTGGTCTACCTTGCTGAGAACGAATCAGGCAAGGTGCTTGAATTCACAAGCATACCTGCCTCTTACTGGTGGGCCATCATTTCAATGACCACTGTGGGGTATGGAGATATGGTGCCACGGAGCGTCCCAGGCCAGATGGTAGCTCTGAGCAGCATCCTCAGTGGGATTCTCATCATGTCTTTTCCTGCAACATCAATATTCCACACTTTTTCCCATTCCTACTCAGAGCTGAGGAAGGAACATGAACGATTGCAGTCTCGGGTAAACAGAGTAAAAAATGCCAATCATTCTGGTGAAAGTGACACCTTCAATGACACAGACAGCTTGATCCTGGAGGAGCCAGCATCACCGATCAAATACATTTACACAGGGAACTAAGCCTTGCTGTAAAACATTCCCAAGAATAGGAATAGAAATACATACGTGTATGTCAACATAATACATAAAGCAAAGCAAGAAAATTAGGTTGCAACACTATTTTTCTCTGCCAGGATAGGTATAACAAAGCAGTAGAAGCCAATGCAGCTGGCTCCAACACATCATTACGAAGGCGGAGGTTTTGAGAATGTCAGAAGTCAGAGTTTATTCAGGTAATAAATAAATACTCATTCTTCACTAGGACTAATGGTAAGATTCAACTTTGTCTCTGCCAGCTACATATCTTGCTGAAAAACTAATATCGAATGAATAGCAAACAAAACCGCTTCTGTTGGCACAAATAACACTTGTTATTTTATTTGCCTTTGAGTTTTCAATGTTCTTTGCAATTAACACCTTGAGCCAAGCATTAGAAAGGATTTTTTCAGGGCTATGCATCAGTGTTATTTATACAATGCTCATCGGCCAGGCATACAGAAGAAGCCTCAATATCAATCTGAGCTCTGTATCTAAAGCTACTAATAAGCTTATAATAAAAGCACTGTATGTGAAAGCTTTCAAAGTTTGCCTGTAATCAGATGATCAATTTCTAAGCAACGAATTGCACTACTGTTGTAAGACACATAGTGTTTGCAAGAGAATTTGCTTGAAATACAGTTGCAGTCTGAAACATTTCATACTAGACAGAAGTTTTCAAACTTTTTTCATATACTTAAAAAATGAAAAAAAAAAGGAATAAAAACCCAAACTTATAGAACATATAATTGAGTTTGTGTTTTTATTTTTATTTATTTTTTTTCTCTTTAGTTGAATGGTGTTGGCTTTTCTAGAAGAAAAATAATTTTAAAAGTTATCAAAAATAAAATGACAGCTCAGAAGTATTCAAATGTATAAATAGCAAAACTGAGAGGAATGATTGCCGGAGGCAGTGGGAGTGATTTCCTAATGTAAATAGAAGATGTCCCTCTTGGCGTACATCAGTCTAGCCAGAAAATACTGGCCTACAGAAGTCAAAAATGCTACTTGAGATTTTCTAGGTGATATTTTATAATTCTACCTTTTAGATGCTGTGAATGCAGTTAGTGGAAACCTATGCCGAGTCACGAAAGTCGGGTTTGTGCATACATCTGATCTATGTGTATAGGACCTGGTCAGCTCATGGGTCCTCAGCTTACAAGCAGTCCTGGTGGTATCTGCAGAACTTTGACATGCATTTAAGTACTGAGATGAAGCAATTCATTAATTTTTTAATCAGATTTTCAGCTTTCATTATTCCATTTCCTAAATCCTGCTAGGTTCCCTATGACCTTGCAGCAAAGCTGAGCTCAGTGAGATGACCCTTGAGTTCCAGTTTTCAGCAAGCACCGCGCTCAGGCAGGGCATGTCCCCGAAAGCCCAGGGGACACTTCCAGGCATGTGATCAGCCTCCCACGTGGACACACAAACAGTCACCGTCAGAGTTATGCAACTTCGGGCAGGCATTCGGGAGTTTCAGTTTTTCGATGCTATCCTCACTGTGCTTTATAGCTTAAGTAGAGAAAACCACAGTTGTTGGCACAGTTTGCAGCACGTGACTCAAATTAATCTCTTGGGTTTATCTTGCTATTGACCCTCTGATCTAAAGCAGGGAAACTCTAGCAGATTATAGATGGGATGTAGGAAACACAATTGGAGCAAGTAGACTCTAGATTACAGGAATTTTTATTTGTCACATAACAGGTGGAATTTCTGCTGTTTTATGCATAAATCCATCTGATAATTTATTTTTATTTATTAACTTTTATATTTGCCAGTGATTTTCTACCACAGGACTACTCAGGTAGGAAACCAAACAAAACCCAGCCTAGATGAGGACCATGACCTCGACCCCTCCAAGCTCCTAGGCATGTCACGCCACCCGCATTTCTCCTGGGGATTTTGTATTTCTTTAGGGTTGTTTCAGCTCCTCAGGAAAAACCATCGCATAGTACCAAAACACCCACTGCAGCACACGTCTATCCCTCTGCTCTGGCAGAGTTGAAGACTGTGCAAGAATGTGTTGAAACTTGATGTAAAAATAAATAAATAAATAATAAAAAAAAATAAAAATCACCAATGTTTAACAGCAAAGTAAATGCTGGTATGTTCGGCAGAATCAGGACCGTACCACACATTTCCATTTCTAACCAAATTTCTTTCTACTGCTGGGTCAGGCCTGCACCAGCTTTCATAGAAAATGTCCTTCATGATTCACTGTGTTATTCAGAAAGGAAAAAAAATATGTGGAGGGGAACATTTAGTTCCCGTATAATTCAACTGAGTAACAAATTCAGAACAAGCAGTTACAATTAGCAGATACTGTTGTTGCCAAGTACATATCATTTCATAACTAGACTTAATTAAAAGAGCAGTTTAGGTGCCTGGCATCCAGCTTCCTCTCTTCGTTCAGAGCCTCTTCCCTGAATCTAAATCCTAGAAGATGCAGGGGACCAGCACCCATTACCCAGTGGGAACCACATTCCTCAGCCCTTATCAAGGCATTACATTCCTTCTTAAACTTCTAACTGAAACTGATAAACAAGATCTCTGCTGCATAATGAAGGACCCACAAAATTCCCAATGGCAATGCTTTCTCTGGGACCATCAGTAGGTATACTGCTCTGCAAACCAGCTAGGGACACCAAACAGGGACAGGATCACAGGGGAATGCAATACAGGACCCTTCCAAGTGTCAGTCTGACTCAGAACCAAAACACAGTGAATTGGTTTTGATCATGGACTAAATGCAAGTTTCCTATGATGTTGGAATAGTACTGAGGGACTAAGACCTTTGCTCTGACCTATCTGTAATTTCTTCAGGGATTCTGCAAATTACTTCAAATTCTCTCTGTAGCACTTGTACCTCCCAGCCATTCTCCAGCTGTTTCTCCTCTTTGACTTTCATCAGTTCCTCTGGCAGAGAAGCTTTATATAAAATGGATGTATTCTTTTAGTAATGAAGTCCCGTTACTTTCATGGGGTCAGTATTTTATAACTTCAACCTACTGCTAGATCTCCTGAAAGTTGCTTTTTATCTGTCTTTGGCAATCTGAAGTTTGCATCCAGTCATTGGCATGCATATATAATTCAGATTAGATTTATTATTTAAGTCACAAATTAATTGGAGAGAATGGTACACTATTTATGTGAATTATTCTGTAATTTAATCCTAAGTATTATGCATAATCTAAATATAAATTAGAGCTGAGCTATTTTAAATTTATATCGGTCTCTATATATATATTATTTCATATTTACACAAACAGTAAAGCTAATTATATAATTTATGCAGTTATTATGAACCATTAAGCATGTCTGATGATAAAAGTTTTACAGATTATGCCCCCTCTAATTTTATTTTTAATGCAATCTTTTTACCTTTTCTTTTTTTTTTTTTCTTTCAGGAATTTGTTCTAATACATTGCAGTTATCTATAAAAAATGATGAAAACCTAGAAGGTCAAGGAAAAGAGAAGTACAGCACACTCCCTGAAAGAGCAATAGAAAGTTTCCACTTTGATGAGCTAGCCATATGTTAAAATTAAAACTGATAAAAGGCCGGTATAATACTCAAGTATTATACTGAATGGAGTCTGTTTTCTGAATTTCAGCACATTTTTACTGAAAGTGTTAAATTCCTTTCTGTAAATTATTTTGCTTATGTAGCAATAGCTTGTCTGAGCTAAACAGCGTGTTCACCACTTCCCTGGGTAAAATTTACCCCTAAGCTACATCGTTATGAGAGCTGCATTCTAGCGAGGACCAAGGAACCAACTCAAGTGAAAACTACTTAGATCATCAACGCCAAGTAGGAGTGCTTAAGGGCCACCTTAGCAGAATATTAAAGTAGACTCAGCAAGAGGGAAGGGTAAAAATCCAGCTCCATTTCATTATTTTTATACTTGATTCCTGCCTGGTTGTAAAGATAAAGTATATAGCTGTAAGAGAAGGGCTGTAGAATACCCGTTGTTTGCATCTCTTCTGAAAGATAGTCTGTTATACCACTGGTAAAAAGTATCATAACTAGTAATAAGATGTAATCTCCTTGATACAACATTTAACGGCACTTAAAATTTTAAATCTTAAATGAGACAGTTTACTGTTTCATACCTGACAACTTTGTTTAAAAAAATAAAAATCTTTTAGGACTTAATATATTAGCATAGAACACCATACATGCAGATGACAAAGTCATATCTTCTGAAATTCCTTGCTTGCCAGTTCCAGTGTTCAGCCAAGAATTAGTCAGTTAGACACTAACTACAAATCAACAGGTTTCATCTCAACTTCTTCAAAATAATTTCTTTTTATCACCTTTCAGGAAATTGATAATTCTCAGGAAGAATAAATGGAGTGATACAGAAATTTTCTTCTGCCTAAAGTAGATGAAGTACAATTTATATTGACCTTACACAGCAGTGAATAGTTTGCAATGCCTTTGTGAGCATTCAGTGATTTTTCAGTTAAATTCAAACAAATTGCATGATCATTTGCTGATGTTCCACTACTTGCTTTTAAGTCTGTATCTGGGTACACATCACTCCCTACACTTCAACAGTTATGTTCCTAGATTCACAACTTCTTCTGTTTTTGTCTTCCTGCTCTTGGAAGCTCACATCAGGAACGGTTCATTTGCTATACAAAAAGCCATATCGTTATGAATCCCAATAGGAAAATTCTATAACCTTAAAGGTGCAGAGTGACAAATACCAAAGATAATTGAATTGCACTCATGAACAGAGAATGATGATAAAACAAACATGAAGTGCTTTTACTTCTTTAGATCGACGGGTCTTGTACCATACTGTAAGTGTCTAATGCTGTCTTTTAATGAGAAAATTTTAACAGATTTTCTTAAAATTTCACTTGCAAATCATTTTCTTGAAATATCTTCACCACAACAACAAAGTAGATGACAATGATAAAACTTTATGTCTCAAGGATCTACTTTTCCTCCAAATTATAAAAATATTCATTAGTCTGGTGTTCTCTTTTTACCAAGATATCTTGAAGCTTTCCAAACTGCCTACTTTCACACCAAATTAGTTAGAGCTGTTCTGGCTCTGAGAGACTTTTACATTAGAATTTCAAAAAAAAATCATCTCAACTCAAGACAAACTCCAGGAAATTTCAAAGCTTCAGAGAAAAGGAAGAGCTAGGAGCTACTGATGATTAAAGAAAAGAGTTACACAGTTCATCAAAGATACATGAATAGACTTGTACAGCGCAATTACTATGTTATTAACAGAATATTTCTAGGAATCAGAAGGTAAAACCTTGGAAATTTTCTCTGCCTTTCCCAGTGCCAAATTTTCAGTTTGATTAATACTACTAACATAGTAACATCCATAATTCCAACTCTGTTACATAGATTCATACCTAGGATATCATCTGCATCTAATATTAAGTGGGACTTAGTTCAGTAATTTACTGAGTTGATAAAGATAATGCTATCAGCTCATGAAGGCATAAGTATGCATGCTTAAACAAATTAAGCTAATTTCATACAAATACAAAGATACCTAATGGAAAATGAAGGTCAAATAGATTTGTGCCATTAGCAAACTGCAGATTGTGAAATGTTCTAACAGAATTTAAAATTACATTTTCCTACAGAGTTCTGTATTTCTGAGTAAAATTGTGACAGAGTCTGTTCCTTTGAGTTATTAAATGAGTAACATTAAAAAAAAAAAAAAGACAGAAATTCCAAGAGTAAGATTATTGGAAGGAACACTACACAGAACAAAAGATAAATCAGTTTCAAATTATGTCCCAAAAGAGCAAAGTGTGTCAGCGCTACAGGATAATGGGCTTGCTGGTCTTTAATAACAGTTTGTTGAATTAAGAGCAAATTAGGGGCCTGTTTTGCAGGTCGTTGGATAATTCCTTTGCTCTGCTAAGTACCTCTGGCTCCTGTGGAAGTCTAGAGAACTTGAATCACCCAGTATACTAAAACTCTAAGTAGCTCTTAAATTTTATGCTTGATTTCCATTGAGAAAACAGATTTGTTCAGACTTCCATTTCACTGAACACAGATTTTGACTGTTTTTTAAAAGGACTTCTATTTTTTTACATTGCCAGGTTCAGTATCTCATCTTGGTATACAAAAAAAACAAACAAAAACAAACAGCCTAGATGCGGTGTGAATCTCTATCACTCTTAAAATTCACAGACTTCAACAGCTTACCGCAGTTGAGAACAGGGCTTCAAGGACTTCTCTATTACTGCAACGTTTGCTGTCATTCTCCTGCTTCATCAAGTGGTTCTGAAATGCAAAAGAGACTATCAGGAAGTTGAAGACTGACCTTCCTTTTACAAATAGCTGATCAACACTTCAGGCTTTAGAAGTCTAGTTAGACAGTGACACCTGCAACTTCCTTGTTAACATCAATTGCAATACCAAACTTGAACAAAAGCTTTTGTATTTCCAGTCTTATCTATACTTTTAGTACTGCTGGTTGTCTTTTCATATATACCATGAACTTCCTAAAATTACAGACTACACACTCTGAAAGTGCCACACCAAGCACTCCCAAACACCAGCCTTTCCTAAAGGGAGGAAGTTTCAAAGAACCTTCAAAGCTCCTGCCAGAGTTCCAGCCTGGCTCATTCTGGGTGGGAAACTGGAAAAATAGGGAAGCAAGTCTTGATTCATCCTGTCTCCAACACAAATCGAAGCCATGAAGGGCCCTCTAATAGCACCACAGGGAATATCCCAACCTGTAAATTATTATTAGATAATTGTTGTGTTCATGTACATGGGAGAGAACACACTCTAATTAGAACTACGGGGAGATGTTGAACCTGCTCCTAAAGGGCATGCTCATTTGAGAAAAGCTGCCATAATCACAGCTGTTTGCTTCCTCAACTTTGGCTAAAAAGCAGCACTGAGGACTGCCAATATTTATACGATTCTCCCATTTTAATCAGAGCAAAAGCAACAAGCCAAAAAGTCTTGGAGCACCCTGCACACAAGACAGCAATAGCACTCATTTCTCCTATCTGCTTTCCTTTTGAATAATCAAGCTTATTAGTTTTGGAAATTTTCTTTTAAAATGTGTCAAGTAAGTCAGGTGGCTTCTCAGCTGAAGGCTCTGCACAGAGATGAATTTTGCTCGAAGTCATGCATGGGAATTGTCCCGATGACTTGTGCTTGTATGACTGGGTCTCATGAAATAGCAGGGAAGCAGGTCTAGAGGAACAGGTATTAACGGAGGTATTTTGTCACAAAACCTGTTTGTTTACCTGTAAGGAATAACACAGCAGACAATTTTTAAGCTAATATCTCCCCAGCTGTGGCCTGCAGTGGAACATCTGAGGATTTACATGTGTCTTTGTAACACTGCACTGGTCTCCTTCCCAGTACAGTCACTGGGTGCAGCTTTAACTGACTGAAGAAAATTATCGAAGAAACATCAACATATGTGCCAAACGTCCAGATGAGCATAACTGAATCTGCAGGAACATTGCTTTGGCGTGTTCTTTTGGCGTATTGAGCCAATATTGAGACATCAGTGTTCAGGATCTTCTCCCACTCTTGCAGCCCATCAAGGAAGTGAGGCGCACATGGACAGACAATGTGCTTGCGCTTTGGTGGCTGTGTTCCAGCTCTGCTCTAGACAACTCTGAGCCAAAGGCTACTGGCCAAGCAGGACCCCCACTGCCAATTCACCATGATGGTCCCCTTCTTGTTCAGTATCTTTTCTACTTTGTTACTGCATTCTTAGCCTAACGCTTTATAACACTGCAAAGCAGCTTTCAGATACATTTCTAATGCTCTTATACACCATACAAATTAGACTCATACACTTATACAAATTAGAACAGCAAGTTGAAAAAAAAAAAAAAAAACACAACAAAAAACACATATACAGAGATTCAGCCCCTTTTACCTCCAGGACTTCTCTCTCTTCAACATATGAATTACCCAAAAAAGATGCACACTGCTAACTGTGGCTCACAGAGATGACTCCATCCTCTGAAACCTCATAGCAGACCACAAGCACCCTGCCTCTGAATCATGCTTTCAAGTCCAAAATGAATCAGGAGGTTCATTTACAATTAACATCAATGTTTCACATCATAGAAACACAATTCAGGATGACTCTTCCCTTTCCACTTCCTACACTTTCTGATAGTTAGGGACCCTGCCTCAAAACCAGGTCTGTAGAGGACCTGCACTGAACCCTGCTCTGCCCTGGACGCCCTCGCAGAGGTCCTCACTCCTTCTGCCTGACAGCCCTCTAGTGGTACCTGCACTACTCAGCAAGGTAAAGGAGCAGCCAACTCAGAGCCTAGATGGATGGATGGTCCTCTCCTGTTGGAGCTAGTAGCTGTGCTGGTAGGATGGAGTTTATAGCCTATACTCACGTCACTTTATTTATTTCTAGTTATCCTATATAAAATAGTCCATGGACACAAACATGCTGAAGACACCACTGCAGCCTCTTGGAAAGTCTTACCAAAAGGTTTTCATCATGGAATGCACACAGCAATGATCCTGACAGCAGCCTTTAGCTGATGTCTCCTCCCCAGCTCCCCCCTTACCTCTCCCAGCTTTCAAGCATACATCTTGTGCAACTCCATTAACATCAGGTACAAGAGAAATTGTCAGAGTTCCTCTGCAGACCTAAGTTAATTGTTACAGTAAACCGCAGCTGATTCCAAGGACTTCCTACCCCCAGTAACAAACAGGCTGAGCTCTGCTGGTTTCTCCCTCTATTGACAGTTATGTCTTTTTTCATCCTAAATGTTCAGATTTACACTACCTGCCCTCAGAATCACCTTTGGAATCACCTCAGAATCATCTTTGTCATGCTTTTGCCTCCCTTTCATAACATTTTATGTGAGCCATGCAGACCCCATCAGCCTCCACTATCCCCAGCAGAAGCAACCAGAGCCAGAAGAACCAATCTGCAAAGAGTTTTGCTTGACAAAGTAACAGAAACCCATGTAATGCTGCGCATATTTCTAAGCTCGCTAGACCATTGCACTCGTTCCTAACTACAGACATCATTCACCAGGCTTGAAACATTACAGGAGCTGCATTGCCTTGAGGTACTGAGAGCTGTGAAATTAGCAGTAAAGTACCTTGGCTAGCTTAGCATGAAGGCAAGAAGATTGCAAATTAATGTTAAGTTTGATTCAGGTTTATCCAGAGGGCAAGAACGTATTCCAGTGTTCAGGGAAGGAAAAAATAGTTTAAAATAAAAAAGATTTAAAGAGTCAGCATGACTTTTCAGAGTCAGATATTATTATTCCATATATTAAATAAAATGCAAAGGGAAGTTAGCTGCCTCAATTTTTTGCCTTCAGCAGAACACGTAGGGGTGAATATACAGTCGACTGACTGATACAGTTCAGGGGAAAACTTCATTGCCAAAAGCATGATTTGGCCCTGAATACAGTAGCTGGTCAAATTAGCTCATTTCTTCCCCTCTGAGTAGCATCATGCAGCTTACTGAGCCCAGGGCTCCTAATAGAAAGAAATGCTGCAACTAGGGTCTGTAGGAAACGGAGTTCTGGTCAGCTACAAACATAAGGACATCAGCAGGTCTCAGCTTCCTAGACTTCAACCTTGTTTTTCTTTTATTTCCAATACATTCAGTACCCAGCTTAATTAAATCCCTCAGCTTCTCCCCAACAGAGGTGCTTTGTAGGGAACTTGAACGCAATGTTTTCTTCTAGCGTTTGGAAGAGATACATGAAACCCTAGCATCAATAAATAATGCAGGAACTACTGGTTCTAACTTTAAAGATTGACAGAGAACACTACCCCCATTTCCTCCACCCCAAATTCTTTACAGAAAAAAGAAGATACCTTTCTTCCTGTCTGCCAGTACTCTGACCTCCCATCCCAGACCCAGGTGTCTGAGCTTTCCATGAGGCCCAGACCACTGCTGTTCATAGCAATCTATAATAACGCCCAGCTGGCCTTCATCCCCCAGCCTGGCTCATCAACACAGAAACATTTCTTCACTCACCCTGGCTCTACATATCTTTGTAAAGTCCCACAGGCAAACAAAATGAAGAGTTTTGGCTAGCAGACCTCTAAACATGCATCTTATGTGGAATGTAATACCTCTTGAGAGGAAAATGACATGATGCTTCCCAGGATATAGCACAGCAAAGGGATGCTGTGTTACACACCCTGGGAAATTAATTTCCAGCTTTTTAACCCCTATTATAAAAAGGCAGTGGGTTTTGTCAGAGACCCTTACACTAGCTCCTTTCACAATTCAGAGGCATCAATCACAGGCCTGTCTCAGGATCAGCCCTCCTTCAGAGTTTGTACTGAAAGAAGTAAACAGACTTGATTACTGATGTGGACCTTCTGAGAATGGAAACTCCAGCTAGCAGCTCAAGAGCTACCTGGGAGCTCTTGGTGAAACAAATTACTTTTTTTTTTTTTTTTTTTTTAAATGTAGCAGAGCAAGTAGACCGAGTTACATAACTATTAACACAAAACACAACAGCATAGCATTTTGTCATTTGCAAACAAATGTAAAGAAAAGCAAACAAATTGGTTTTGGTTCCCACTTGTAAGGCTGGATGGGAAGAAAACCTAACTAAATGCATTCATCCTTAGATCTCAGGCCTTTCTCTGCAGATAAATTTCTCTTGAAATGTTAGTAATGAAAGATCAAAAGCAAAATAGGGAATATTCAAAATGAAATCACATCTTTATATTGGTAGAAGATTAAATGCCATGTTTTAAATATTTTTAATTCCTTGTTTTTATATTTTATTAATCTATAACTGGCATTTATTTTAAAATGGTTTGCTTTTACAGTGAGCAGTGATATCTAATGCCAGTTAAAGTACAGCATGTAATTTTAAAAATAATTATTCTTGAACACAGTGGTTATTACTGCATGATCATACATTGATAAGCACCAACAAATGTGACCCTATTAAATGGGGATGATTTTGATCATCCATTCTGCTGTATAGATATTTCCTTCTCATTAAAAGGCCTGAAACTAAGCCTGGCACAGGGTTACTCATTGCTAATCATCTGTAGGCCCAGTACCACTGTATGCTGAGTGTATTACTGTAGAGAAAACTGTCTGCTCAGAAGAGTTCGGAGTCAATGCAAAAGGTAAAGGAGGGAGAGTGATTTATGGTGAACATTTTCCATGTGTCTCTGTGGTTTCACATTTTTATGTAATGTTCTTATTTTCAGCCATCTATTTTTAAAACATCTCAGAAGGATGTGCAAGTAAGTGAGTCAGGGGGAAGATTTGAAGGAGACAAATTAAAAAGAGAAAAATGAAACACAGTGGACAAAGTTAAGGCAAGTCCATGCACAGGGAGCTGTGCTGGAAGATGTACTGAGGCAGAATTGTCTCACTGACATAAAAGCACATTTTGAAATATGGCTTTAATGGTAGTCCTACAGCTAGTCATCAGCAGCTCTTGCTGATTTTCACTGTGCTGCTGACTTGTCTGTGAACTGCTGTCAGGCCTTCATTTTGTTTGGCATGAACACAACAAAGAAGTGACCATTTCCCCACATGACAGCAGGAAAAAAAAAAAAAGGAAGGTTATGGTAGGGTTAGGTTAACAGCAGAAGCAGTATGTTCATTAATATTACTTAACAAGTAGATTTTTCCCACTTCAAGAACAGTGCAAAATCATTAAGAAAATTATGTCATTGACAGTATTTTAAGATTCAAATCCTGGGGGAGTATCACACAAGATTTTCACAAATTCTAGCTGAAAGGTAGGTTTTCTTTTCCTACCTTTGGTCTGCTCTAAGAGAATATAAAATGAAACCCAGTAAAAAATGACTATCTAGGATGAGGATGCCTGAAATAAGTGAGAATAATGTGATTACACCGTTCAATGCAAAATAAAATAATTGAGGGGAGAAATGCACATTTATTTTTTTTCTTTCTGTAACGGCAGAAAATTTAACATAATCTTTCAGCTGACAGCCAGTAAAACATGAATTGTTTCTTAGGCTGAATTATCACTACATGTTTCATAAGGATTAACCAGTATGTTGTTATTAGAGTAGTCAGTGATTCAGTATGCCAGAAGATTAAACAAAAGCTAATCTCTAGAAAAGTAGGACAAAATCCTTTGTTTCTTTTTCAGGAAAAAGAATTTACAGCTTGCAGGTTCTCAAAAGCTGATCTTGGGAAGACAAAAAGCTTTTCTCAAAGCAATACTTGCCCATCCACCTATTTCAGAGGAACACAACATCCAACAAGGTTAGGAATTGGGAAGCGCTAGTGTTGCTCTTTTTTGTTTGGACAGTTTAGCCCTAAAAGTGATGAATTTCTCTATAAAACAGGCTAGTCTTTTGTTGCACTGGTGGCCAGAGTTGGACACAACTGGAAAAGGCTGCAGAGTTTGAAGAGGTATTCAGCAAACTCCTGGTAAGAAACAAAATGCCGTGCAAAGAGTTTATGTGTATCTTAAAGAAAACTCTTGGTATAGATTCAACATTTATTTCAAACTTGAATGCACAGTATGAAGCATATTCCAGGTTCTCATCACTGACTGTGGGATCTCTTCTAAGAGAACAATGAGATCACATTGTGTTCTACCAGAAGTCCTTCACTACAAAGGTTACTGTCACTTTCACATAACTAAAAGTGCTGCCAACCTTTAATTATTTTTAGAAGAGAATAACTATTTGAATTTTGCATTCAAATTATTCAAGGTTATAAGCCATGTGTCTTTATTCTTCTGTTGTGTTTGCTTGATGGTCTGGAAAACTAATCCAAAGCAGATGCATGCTCATGTCTTAGCTTTTAACATTGCACTCCTAAATCCAGAAGCAATTTACTATGTTCTGTACGTATATATTGTGAATGAATATTGTATTATAATGTAGACAGTGAGGCATATTGAGAAAGGGTTATATGGAGTTCTTGACTAGGCAGCAGGCACATTCTGCAAGAGACTAATGAAACAGACAAGTGTACATTTAGGAGGATAATTAAATAATACAAATACATATATGAGAAAGATGGTGAATTTAGAGCCAACCTAATATAATTCTACATCAGCTTTGCCTTTTATATTTAATTATTACATTTTCAGCAATCCTCTGTTAGAAATATTGGTAGCATTCAGGACTCTGATAAAAAGAAAAAATAACAGTGACAGGTACAGTTCTTGGTAATATAAGACACAAACAGGGAGCAACTGACATGTGTCCCACCCTGTGGTTGATTTTTCAAAGCTAGCTTAGGTTCTGGACATTTTAAGGAGATTTTAAGTATTATTTAAGAGAATTTTGACAACCATGAACCAAAATTCTGGGAGTTTAGCACTCAACTAATGCAGAAAGTTATAAAAATAATCTAGGAGAGTATCTGAAACGTCCAAATATCTTCAGCACTGGAAAAAACTTCCCATACAAATGCAGAAGATTGGTCAGGAACGGCAGCAGCACAAAGCTCACAGCTCCTGGGAGGATTTATCCACAGGGCAGTTAAGCTTTAAAACATATGCAATTCATAGCCAAGTGATCTTACTTTCCTCCAGGCTCCCTCTGCAGTCATGTTCTGCTGAGAGTCCCAATTAAACAGATGCAGATGCTAAAATTAGTTACCCTAGCAGTGATGTACCAGTTCATGCTTTTCCTTGGGATCAAAGGCAGCGCAGTGGGAGCACCTCTCTGACAGCTGGAGAGGTCAACTCAGAAGTCCCTTCTCATCTGCTCAGGGGTCAGATCTTTCCCATGGCAAGGTCTGGACCCAGCAGTAGGCAGCAAGCACTTTTTGTCTTCAAGCAAGTTGTGACATGGATGCCGTGATCTGCTAAGGAAATGACAGCAGGATTGGGGCCTTAGGTTTGCAAAGTTCGCATCAGTTGTGTTATGCAGGAAAATGTAAGGACCAACTCTGATTTCCTGAGTTAATTTAATATTTCTTATGAGTCTTGCAGCACACAAGTGTCTGTCCTTTCAGATTGAAACAGCGTAGATTTGACAAGCCACAGATACTGGTAATCTGCAGGAGAAAAGTGTTCAGACTACTTATCAGAAATGAAGTATGTGAAACAGTCACCTCAACAGGATCAGAAATATGACAACAAACTGAAAGGTCCTCATTCCTTTTATTTCTTTTGTGTTTTGATCTCCATCTCTTACATACTCTACTTATGGCACCTGCCTTGTACCTCTCTCAGTAAACATGAACAAAGCTGCTCAGTGAACCCAGCAAATGGCTGGCTTATAGTTTCACTGAGGTTCTCTCTGGCTATCCATGTGCTAGGCATCATTGTAGGAACAGACAGTGAGCTACCAATAAACTCAAGATACTCCTGGCTAAGGACTTGTATGGAACATTTATTAATCAGCTCATATACTACTTACTGTCTCATTCCGTTCCCACAAATTCCTCTGTCCAAACCCTTAAAACTAGAATAATGACTCTTCAGTAACAAATAAGCTTTCAGATCTCACAGTGAAAAATTATCTGTTATCAGTGTTACAATATTTAGCATCTGTTGCATGTCATTCACTGCTGGTTATCAGCACTTCTACAGCTCCCTAATGATTTTCTTAGAGAGGGAGAGACAAGGATGAGCTCCATTCGATCCATGGTGAGATGATTTAGCTCATGCTGTCAGGCAGATCTGGCAACTGTTTGTGTTGAGTGACATTTTTGATGGACATTGCTGCAATGACACTTGCCAGAGTAGCATCTGTAAAAGAGTAATGGATGAGCACATCCATACCGGCATTCTGTGCAGGTCAGCTGAAACAAGCGGTAAGGAAGAACACAGCAAGCATTACTGTTTGCAAGCAGCCATTGGGGAGGTTTAACAGCCCTTTATCCTGAATGAAATGGTGGAAGTTTGTTGTTTTATCCCCCCCGCCTCCCCCCTGAAAATAGCTTTCCTAACAGACACAAAATCAGATGGTAGAAGAGCTGTTCAAAATTTTACTTTGAACAGAAAGGTATGAACAGCATTATTTCCAGGGTATTTTGGCCAAAACACAACTCTATATATTTGGTAATTAGGGCTTAGAGTCCTTCCAAATCCAAGATATCTCAAAACCCACAGACAGAAATTTTTATTCACATTCAAAAGTTTGTATTCTCAAACCACTATATTTGCAGTGTTTTGTGGAAGATCTTCTGAAAACAAGGAAATATCTGCTTATCCTCAGCTGATGTAAGCCAGCACACCTCCACTGAAATAAATAGAACCTGCTTCTAACAGTTTCATATTCAGCTAAGAATTTCTTGAATTATTATTATTATTATTTTTAAACCAGATACATACTGAGCCCTAAGCAACTATTAAAATAAACAGTGATGACTCTCAGCTGACCTCATTCTGCAATTCAGGTATGGTTAGCTGTGCTCATTTATTTAAGTTTTTATTCAATAATCATTTTGGTTGACACCATTTCCATTGTATTTTATTATTCTAAGTTCACCATTGACTTGAATAAAGAAGCTGAAAATTAAACTGGTCACGTCAAGACTTATGGAGTGATATTACCAAGTGTTTTACTCCCTAAATGTACATCAAGACTTTGAGTTACGGTGACAAGTGTTAGTTTTCCTGAGACAGCTGGAAAGTAAAAGAATGCAGAATCTAGAGACTTTCATAATATTTCTACTACATGTATGTTAGATGTTAAAAATCATTTTGTGGATACTGATTTACAGTTACAAGATGATGAAGGTTTGAAAACAGGGATAGTTCTAAGTGTCTTGCAGATTCATACTAATTACAATCCCTCCAGAGTGACTAGCACAGCATGGGCAAAACTCAGAAACATATCCCTCCCCAAAACCCAACCTTACACAACCAGCAGCTTTCAGAGTAGATCTGACTGGTGAGAGGAATCCTACCAACATCTCATCTCTGTGGAAGGAGATGATAAAGCCTTGTCCAATGCTCCCATTTAGCTAGGTAATTGGGGTCCCAAATTATTACCACTTCCAGTAATACCTTGTATCCTTGGTATGATAAAGACTGAACCTCTGTTTAGGACTGTTACTCAGGCTGAGATGCTTTGATAGTGCTCAGAGCGAATAGACATTCTTTTTTATTTTATTCTTTGCTCTGTATTTTTCAGAGACTCTAACAGAGTTATTCTGTACTCAGTCTACAAAATGGGTAACGACAGAATTAGAGTTGTGAATGACTGATTACCCTCCTTCATTTCTAATTCTGCCTGAGTAAATATTACAAATCTTGAGATTGTAAAATAAGTCATAATATAATTATAACTTGCCACTGTTTCAAAGGAAAAAAAGAGCATGAATTGATATTTCTGATAAGCAGTCTTAAAATAACAGAGCCCTGAGGTTACCAGCAAGACAAACAAATTATCTTCTTTTATCCATGCTTCCATTTCGTTTTATTTAAAGATAATATGATACCTCATTTTTTGCCTATTATAGTTGCCTGCCTTTTCTCTTAGATAAAATCTTGCTTAATTAGAATAAATGTCACATCCTATCCAGGTTAAAGTGGATAAACTCAGAATTTAAAATGGACCTACTTCATTTTAGAAGAAGAGCAGGCTAGTGCTTACAGACCCGAGGACTGTGCAGCAGTACAAGGATGTGTACATTTGGAAGGCAGCTAATTTCAAGCCTTCACACAGATCAAGGCAAACAGTGTGCACTGAAGCATTGTATCTACTGACAATGGATGCAAAGCGCTTTATTTTACATAATGAATGTGCAATTTGTAAAGCAGTGTTTGGAACTCAAGATAGTGATTTAATGTTGTAAACTGCTCGATTTTTGGCTTTCAAGCTAAAAACCTGTCTAGAAAGGATGGAAGTCAAAGACTGAGATTCAACCAAATTCCAGAGCAAGATTGCTGTAACAGATTGGATGTAAAGTGTGTGACAGAAGAGAAAAACACTTAATGGCTTGTGGTAATTCTGTATGTTTGTGGTTGGCAGTGTAATCTCCATGTCACCTCATCACTGTCTGGGAAGGCCTGCCTCTTGCTTTCCTTTTCTTAGGCACAAAGGTAATAACTCTTCTCGAGTGCATAAATTGGAGTTGGCCTCAGTGCACATGCAGAAGCAGAGAAGTGCAATTTGGAAAGGCTGAATTAGCTTAAAGACTTCTGATTTACCCAACCAAAAGCATGAAAACTTCATCCTGAATTCAGCCCCAGATCCAAGAAGTAGAGACTTCTCCTGGACACTTTCCTACCACCCTGCTGCTAGAAAAACTGGGCCTTATCATCAGCCATGATGGATAATAATCTAGCTACTTGAGTTAATGCAGACTTACTCAGCCAGAACAGGACTCAGCTTGGCAGTAATCAGGACCCAGACCCATAACAGCACTTAATGTCACCAGTCACCTAAATTTACTGTGATAAATGGAATATTTCAGTGGATCCCTAATGATTTCTATTATGAGAGTATAAAAGGCAGAGACCTGAAAAACCTAAATCACAC